TTGTATTTTTAATAGAATAACGGTGACAAACGAGTGCACAACCCAACAGATGGTAAATGGATGCTGAGGCCCATAGACATCTACATCTATCCTCCATTAAGGATCAAAATTCGGATGTCACACTGAGGACTACAATAAAAAGCCTCGTTACCAGTAAAAAAGGCTTTCGGCTCTCTACACCCACTATAAGATATAATAAATAAATTAAATAAAAATAAAAAAGCCTTTTATTTCTTGCATTCCATAGTACAATTTCATTGACAGTGTGCAGGTTAAAGTTCAAGTTCAAGTAAAATTAGTTAGTTGTTGATTTAATTTGAAGTTAATGTTGTAATTGACGTAACATAGTAACAATATTTAATTTTATGTTTTTTTTAACAAGAACCTTCTCCATGAGAGGTAAAGGCCTCCTCCAGAGAAGCCCAGTGCTCTCTATTCTCTACCGCTCGTAACCAATGAGTACCCGCTATTTTTATGATATCGTCTGCCCAGCGTGTATTTGGTCTTCCTGTCTTTCTCTGTCCTAGTGGGCCTGTCCATTGTGTTGTCTCTCTTGTTAATCTATTATCGCTTAGCCTCGCTACGTGTCCAGCCCATCGCCATTTAAGCTTTTGTGAGTAATTGAGAGCGTCAATAGCTTGAGTTTTCTGTCTTATATGAGTGTAGCGGATCTTTTTGATTTTCCTTATTTTCAGAATGCTGCTCTCCATACTCCTTTGGCTGGATATAATTTTATTTTTTACTTTTCTGGTAAATTTCCAAGTTTGGTAGGCGTATGTTAATGAGGACAGTAGGCAGATGTTCATGACTTTCGTTTTCATATGTATGTTCATTTTATTTTTGAGTATTTCTTTGAAGCTCCAAAACTTTTTCCATGTAATGTTGACTCTTCTCTCTACTTCTTGTTCGTTATTTCCTTGGTTAAATGAAATTTGCTTTCCCAGGTAAATGTAGGCATTTACATATGTTTGGGGTGAGTTTTCCAGGTATATTGGTCTTTCAATATGGTTCGTCATGACATTAGTTTTTGTTAGGTTGATTTCCAAGCCCACTTTGCGACTTTCTTCGTATAGAGCGTTACTACCACTATAAGATATATAGCAGCTTTATTCTGTTGTTTCACGCTGTATTCTGTGAACCCGGGTCGAGCCGACCCAAGCTGCATTATTCTGCAGCTATGTGTAGCTAGAATAGCTGCTGCGAAGCTCTACCACGTAAAGTTTGTATCTTCTTATATATGAAAATTTATTGCTGTCTGTTAGTCTCGCTAAAACAGCTCGAAAAATTTTGACGTATTATTTGTGTGCATTTGAGTGGATCCCTGGATTGTTTAAAACTCAATTACACACAATAGATAGATAGCACTGTTGCCGAGATCTAGAAATCACCCTCGCGAAGCCTGATCAGATCGCTGGTTTATAATAGTGATTTTCACATTTTTCTAACGTCTTTATTTTACATATTTCTAATATTTTTTTTATATTTATAAAAAGATAGAAGACATGTAAAGTTCGCCAACATGCATTGATGCAGCGTAGCGGACATTTCCTTGCCCTATAACCCTCTCAGAAATGAGAGGAAATGAATGAATGAAATGAAATGAGAGTGTCCAGCAGTGGGACGTAAATAGGCTGAAATACAACGGTTATGAAAATAATTTTAGTAAATTTATTACCAGTATTAATTAGCTGCAATATTACTTACTTTATTAAAGTCCCGGTAGTCATAATCCAACTCCATGTTTCGACTTAATTGCTTAAAAAGAAAATATTATGTCATCTTAAGATAATTTTTTTAACGACTACTTCATCGGATTATCGGACTTATATCACGAATGGTACTTCGTTCCATACTCAGCCCCACAAGCGTCCCTACACCTTACGTTGGCTTCTCATCAGAAGGCGCAGCGGACTAATCACTCCTAGAGAGGAAACCTTGTAGATAGATATCAAAAGCTACAAGCAAGATGCACCAGAATAAAAAGTGCGCCTTCCTGCACAATCCTTATTTGCACTTGGAAACACACTATCCTGATTGTATGCCTTCATAGCCCCAGCGGCTGATCGCAGTAAGTCAGCAGTCTTCGACTTTGTCTCCGACAATATTTCGACAGAGCAGTGTAGGTTCTGCTCACACTTTTTCTCCCCGTGGACTAATCATTGTCACGTTAGTGATAAACTACACTAACCCTACACCCTCACAAAGTCACGGACTCCTCTTCTAGTGCCACTCTAACTCGACTAAGGAGTGCTGGAAGACAGACCACCCATCTACTAACTCACAAACACGCATTTGGAGTAGACTCACTAAACTCACCCAAAATTAGTGTGATAGCCACTAGTCTAATACGGTATACCAGCCTAAATGAAGATCGGTCATACTATCACTGAAACAAGCAGGTCATCATTTCGCTTTACATGTGTAATTACAAAAACTCTTCATCTTTAGTAATGTTATATCTCTCTTAGAAATAGCAAATTTTTCGTTTTCATATAAATGTCAAAGAAAAATGTTGTGTTGAGATAATTTCAAGCAATAGTAGCTTATTGATAAAAGATGCGTACTGCAAGCTCTGAAAATTTTGGGTTCAAATCTGTCATTCGACTATTGTCGTGAAGCACTCCTATCCTAGTGCTAAGCATTTTAAGCTTAATTGGATTATTTTTTATTGGATAGATTGGTTATAATAATATCTTCTAGACCAAATTTCAGTCATGGTGCTGAGAGAGAAGATAGCCATCTGCATGGAAGAGGATTATGGTGCGCAAATGTGGGCGCCAGCACAACACTCTTTATTCCTTCACTCTCATAGCCCGATGAGACGGTAATCGAACACAACATAAGAGATATCTGGCGCGAGACCAACGACTTTACAAACTTTCCGAGGCACGAGGATAAAACGCTGCCAACTTTCTTACTCCGCACTGCTAATGAGAATTTCTTAAGGCGCTACCTCCAGCGAACGACCTTGAGCGTTTGGTCTGTCGAAGCTCGCTACAATATATCGCGTAAGAAATCTCCAAACGACGCCACCTACTGCTACGAACGTAGTATTATTTTTTCGATGTCAATGAACTATTCTATGGAAATAGACACGGCTTACAATGATAAATATATTTTAATTTTCTTTATTCGATATATTAGTTGCATTATATTAGAATTATGTATTCTAATATATTATCTAATTAATAAAAAAGACTATTTTGATTATTTTTAACTATATACTATACTGCTAATATTGAATTAGCTTTTTATAGTGTAAATTATAATATTTGTCGAAATATTAATTATGGATTCGAACTTTACATGCTAATGGTGCTTCATTTTTGTTATTTTCATTTACTTACATATTGAAAATATACTTGAATAGTAGGTATTACTATTTCATTTAGCTTCTGAATTTTAGGATATGTTTTACCTTGAGGTCAAATATAATTTTGAGGAGCAATAGTTATTACCTACTAATCTTTTATCTGCTATTCCTTATTAGGAACAATATTAGTAAATTGAGTTTGAGGGAGATTTACTGTTTATAATGCTACATTTATTATTTTAATATTTACCTACTGGGTAGGTAATTATTAAAATAATAAATATAGCATTAGTAAATAAATAGATATTTTTTTTTTAATTTTTAAAATTAAAATTTTCGTATTTTTAAAAATTACTAAAAAAAGGGTTTGAAATAATAGATTTTATCACAAAAGAAGAGAACTTGAAAAAAAAAAGGAAAAAAAAAGCGGGACCAAAGCCAAGACGCGAACCACGGAACTCCGATATCACGCCCGACCGACATACCACCTGAGCTATAACGACCGTTAGTGATTTGTCGAAATTTACCTTCTTATATTGTAGCAGTTTTTTTATTGCCTGAAAACATGGACAAAAGGACATTTTCTAAAAATAAATCCAAGCGTTCGTCGCTAAAATCGTTGGAGCCGTATAATTTTCTCATCTGGTTCGGTTATATAAATATTTAAATATATAAAAATTATAAATTAAAATGAAAAGATAAATATACATAAATATCAATAAAATAAAATAAATACAAAATAATATTATATTATTACTGTTATTATTATTGTTATATAGTTGTGGTTCGCTGAAGCTGCAACCTAATGGACCATGATCTGAAATTTTTATGAAAAGAAGTGGCTGACGTCAATTATTATTATTCTTACTATTTTTTCATTACTGCCTTTTTCAACCTCACAAGATATTTGTAACTGCAAAAAAAGAAAACTACGTATAAGTAAGTAAATCAGTAATATATTGTTATGTATGATTCAGACTAAATAAAGGTTCCTAAAATAGACGTAGATAAAGAAATTGCATAAAAAATCAAATAAAAATGCAATAAACTTGTTAATTTTATAGGTACTTAGTAAAATATTAAAATAATAAGTTTTTTAGGATATTTATGTAAAACATAAAGGTTATATTATGTTCTAACTACGTTCACGCTTGCGCATATAAAACCGCGGAATTTCACTAGTTTTATTATCAAAATAATAATTGACAACCCTACCCTAAGTTTGCCTTGATTTTACCAACTCAAACTCGTTTTAGGAGATCAAAATATAGAGAGAAAGATAGGAGACTATTTTTTATTCAATATGGTTGGATCTTTATTTAATTGTATATTTTTTGTATGTATTTTATTTTATTGATATTTATGTATATTTATCTTTTCATTTTAATTTATATTTATAAAAACCAACCAGATGAGAAACTATACAGATACCCCAATAATAATAATATAATAATAATAATATAATAATATAAAGGCGTAGGGAAGTGACGACCCCATCGCCCGCTGATATAACGGTTATGTGACAAAACCGCTACGTCGGCGCAGTCAGTCAGCACCTTGCCAAGAGGTGTTAGTGCCGTGCCTCGGCAAAAATTGAAGGTGCCAAGGCCCGCTTGTGCACATGGCCTAACCATGAAACGGCGCCGGGTCTGGGCGTCTCCCGCTAAATGACGCCCTAAAATGGATGATGGAATCAAATGGAACGCGCAAAGGGCCGCTGCCTGGAGGTCGCCAGGGCGCGTCTGGAGCTGGCGCTGGACGCGACAGCATGCGAACCGCCAGCCGAGCGCGAGGTGCTGCACGACCACCCAGCAGCTCCTCGCATACATCATCCCCACCAGCTGGCTTGGTGTCGGCAGGGTCTTCGCGGGCTCAGCAATCGGCACCCGTCACTGGTGGAGTACGCCGCATGCGTTGGACAACCCAGATGAACAGCAACGCATTGCGGGCGTATTTTAGGGCGAAAGGGGGAGAAACTGGAGGTTTTGCGTATCGGGCAAGGATCCATCGACTTTTTGCTGAGCTGGAGCCATCTGTAACCGTCACCGAGCAAAACCTGGCAGACCGAGTTCGGTATATCTTGCGCTCAAATACATTTGATGACACCGAACTCGAACGGCTACGACGTGAGGCTGTTCCTTCATCGGGTGAAAATGCTGCGGCTGAGAATGCGGCGCCACAACTTGCCGAGCAAACGGCAAATGTGGATGCCGCCGTGAATACGCCAGTTATGGTTGATTCAAACGATGATGGAACAGTCGCCCAGGAACTGGAACTAGAGCAAATGAGGAGTACATTGGAAGAGGCGATTGTGGAAACGCGCAGTACGACTCTCGAAAATCGACCGCGACTTCCCCGCTTAGCCCTAAGCAAGCGGAATCGGGCTGTCGTGAGGGCTCTGAACCCAATGCTGGTTACCTATTTGGAAGCCAGCCGGGACCTTTGCGAGACGGACTCAATTCTCTTTGGCGCCGCACTGGCAGTCTGCCGTATTATAGGCGCCAAAATTTCCACGGCTGGACGCACTACTGGACAAAGTAGTGCTATCCCAGCCTGGAGAACAAGAATTGAAGAACGTATCGCAAAGGCTAGGGCCCTCATCGGCAGACTGATATGCTTCAGGTCAGGCAATACCAGGCCAAGGATTGTGCGCACCGTCAGGATGGCGTTTGCTGGGACAAATGTTAGTTTGTCCCAGCCGGATATAATGCAAAAACTGACGGAGCGCATAGACGACCTGAAGCAAAGAATAGCTGCTTGGGGAAAGCGGATTCGGCGATATACCGAGAAGTCGACACGGTTCAAGCAGAATCGTCTCTTCCAGAGTGATCAGAAGAGGCTCTATAAATCATTGGAGCGACCAATAGTAAGTGGAACGGGCCCTGCACCAAATCAGGCTGACATGGTCGCATTCTGGCGCAGCCTGTGGTCAGAGCCCGTAAACCACAACGAGGGCCCTAGGACGGAAGTTGTGGCTAGTCAGTGTGCGAGTATTACGCCCATGGACCCCGTCATCATAACGCCGGATGACGTAGCTGAGGCGGTCCGTAGGGCCCCGAACTGGAAAAGTCCGGGGCTTGACGGGCTGCATCACTACTGGTTGAAGGGGTTCATGGTGTGTCACTCTGTGCTCGCCCGATAGTTTCAAGAGGCTCTCAACCAGAAGTCGCTCCCAAGCCTCTTCACTACCGGGATCACTCATTTGGTTCCTAAAGATCAGGGTGCCACAGACCCGAGCAAATACCGCCCTATCACGTGTCTACCGACCATATACAAGACACTAACATCCATTTTGAGCGCAAGAATCGCTCGTCACCTGGACTTAAATCAGGTGATGTCGCGCGCTCAAAATGGATGTCGGGACGGCGGTCGTGGAACCAAGGAATCACTCCTCATTGACGCGGTCATTGGCAAAGTGGTGAAACGCAACCGTCGGAACTTCTCCGCCGCCTGGATAGATTACAGAAAGGCATTTGACTCGGTGCCCCATACATGGATAAAGAGGGTCCTCGAGCTGTACAAGATTGACTGTACAGTTCGAGACTTCCTCGAGCAGTGTATGGGGCAGTGGAGTACGATCCTCTGTCATCTAGGCGAGCGGATGACGGCTGCGGAAAGCCGCATAAGGATAAGAAGGGGTATATTCCAGGGCGACTGTCTGAGTCCAATCTGGTTCTGCCTCTCTTTGAACCCTCTCAGTACTTTACTGGAGGGCTCCGGAAGGGGATTTCAGCTTCGGAAAGGAGGTACAAAAGTGACCCACCTTTTCTATATGGACGACCTCAAATTATTCGCCTCAAGTCGCTCCCATCTTATGGAATTGCTAAACATCACGTGTGAATTTAGCAATTCTATTAGAATGGAGCTGGGGACGGATAAGTGTGCGGTCCTCCATGTTGAAAGGGGAAGGGTTGCTAACTCTGAGGGCATAGACTTATCTATGCCCGTCAACTTAAGAACCCTTTCCGAGGCTGAAACATACCGATACCTGGGTATGTCACAGAACATCGGTATCGATGAGGCTGGTATGAAACAGTCAGTTTGCGACGTGTTTTATGCACGCTTGACCAAGGTGCTTAACAGCCTTTTGTCCGGCGTGAATAAGGCGCACGCATATAACGGTTGGGTCATGCTTGTCTCATGTATACCTTTGGCATACTCAGGTGGACTCAGACTGAACTTAACGCCCTGGATAGAAAAGTCCGCACTACCATGACGTCCCATAGGATGCATCATCCGAGATCGTCGGTAATGAGGCTGTACTTGCCGCGGAAGCTGTTGGTCGTGGCTTCTTAAGCGCGCTCACCATGCATAATCGCGAAGTGTGCAGCCTCCGTCATTACTTCCTGGCGAGATCGGATGATCCATTCTATAAGGACGTCATTTCTTGTGATAAAGGACTTACCCCTCTATCCTTAGCCAACGAGCAATGGCAAGACCCGGCAGTGCAGAGCATTTCCGACCGGGAGACCGTATGGAAGGAGAAGGAGCTCCACAGGAGGTTCTACAAGGCTCTACATGAGCCTTTCGTAGACACAGTATCCTCCCTCCACTGGCTACGCTTTGGTGATCTCTTCGGGGGAAACCGAGGGTTTTGTCTGTGCAATACAGGATCAGGTTATTAAGACCAACAACTATCGGAGATATATCCTAAAGGATGGCACCGTCGACATCTGTCGAGCTTGTCGCCATCCCGGTGAGTCACTTAGGCATGTTATCTCCGGTTTTTCGGCGCTTTCTAACTCTAAGTACTTGCACAGGCACAACCTAGTAGCCAGAATTCTACACCAGGAGCTCGCTCTGAAATACGGTCTCGTGGATCGGAAATTGCCGTATTACAAGTACTTGCCGGAAGCCGTGCTCGAAAATGATCGCGCCAGGCTCTATTGGGACCGGGTCATTATCACAGACAGGACTATTCTTGCGAATAAGCCTGATATTGTGCTGATGGACCGGGCACAGTCAAGGATATTTTTGGTCGACATTACCATTCCGTACGACGAGAACCTCGTGAAAGCCGAAACAGACAAGCAAACAAAATATCTGGACCTGGCTCACGAGGTGACCGACATGTGGGGTGGTCTGCCGACCGAAATTATTCCTGTAGTCGTCTCTGCAAACGGGCTAATCCCAGTCAGCCTCTCGGGTCATCTGAGACAGCTGGGACTACGTGGCGGACCGCTCCAGGTTCAAATGCAGAGGGCGGTGCTCCTCGATACCGCCCGCATCGTCCGTCGGTTTCTTTCCCTTTCCCCCCAACCCTCGGCCGTTTGGTCTCCCCTGCCGAGGGCCTCCATCTGGTTGGGCTTTTACTTATTTATATACTTTTATATTTATTTTATGTTATTGATATTTATGTATATTTATCTTTTCATTTTCATTTATAATTATATATTTATAGAACCCAACCAGATGAGAAAACTATATAGATACCCCATAATAATATTCCACAACTATCACACAACGCCATCCAGTCCCAAGCTAAGCAGAGCTTGTGTTATGGGTACTAGACAACTGATAAACATACTTATATATTTCTAAATACATAAATATTATAGATAAATTACACCCAGACACAGAACAAATGATCGTGCTCACCACACAAACATTTGTCCTGGGTGGGAATCGAACCCACGACCTGCGGCATAGCAGTCAGGGTCACTAACCACTAGACTAACAGGCCTGACGATAAATAAAATAAAGTCTCTAGCTCGAGAGGAGAGGAGACGTGGTAGCTCAGATGGTTAGCGCTTGCTAAAATTTTCACAGTGTGCGAGCAAACCGGGTTCGATCCCCGCCGGCACCAGTAATATTGTAACTGCAATTTTAAGTGTTAATTTACCACGTGCTCAGTGGTGAAGGAAAACATTGTGAGGAAACCTGCATGTCTGAGAAATAAGAAAAAAAATATTTCGAAGACATGCAAAGTTCGCCAACACGCAGTGATAATTCCTTTCCTAGGACCCTTTCAGAAAATAGAATAAAAATAAAAAAATAATAAATCCAAACTTCATTTAAAACTAAACATATAAATTGTAAAGTAGCTGCAGGTATCTATAACCAAGTAAAAGATATTCCTTTCCTCCAACTTGTCCATGTTTCCCAAAACAATTTTTAATTAAGCTTCATATTATAATGCGGATTTTTTTATATTTAAAATTTTAATAATAAAGCATTTCGTACGTCTCAGCCGAGGCGCAAATATTTTTCGGGCGCAAATTTATAAGACCGATTTGTTATTCAAACATAAACATGGTTTTTAATTAAATCTACCAATCATAAAACGACACGCATTTTTGAAATAATACTAGTTTTTTACGGAATTTATCGCGTATATTTAACTTTTTAATTACCCGACGTTTCGAGAGCTTTACAGCACCCATGGTCACGGGAAGGACTGAGATGTTCAACGTCCAGCTGTCATAGTTAACCGCGGTTACCATAGATTAAAATTTAACTTTTGTTCCGATCTACACAGTATGAACTTATGGTATCATGGAGTCTTGCAGTTGTATGCTTGGGTTGGGATTTAATTTTATTTATTATAGGATCCCAAGCAGATGGTAGCACCCAGCCATCTTCTCTATTGAAATTAGGATGTTTTTTGATTTCAATAGCCTCGCGAATCATCCTTGGAAGGAATCGGTGTTCTTTAGCGAGGATTTGTGGTCTATCAAATCTGATGTAGTGACGGGGGCGATCCTGTACATGTTCACAGACTGCAGACTTCCCGGAGCGTCGAACTGTGAACATGTACAGGATCGCCCACGTCACTACATCAGATTTGATAGACCACAAATCCTCGCTAAAGAACACCGATTCCTTCCAAGGATGATTCGCGAGGCTATTGAAATCAAAAAACATCCTAATTTCAATAGAGAAGATGGCTGGGTGCTACCATCTGCTTGGGATCCTATAATAAATAAAATTAAATCCCAACCCAAGCATACAACTGCAAGACTCCATGATACCATAAGTTCATACTGTGTAGATCGGAACAAAAGTTAAATTTTAATCTATGGTAACCGCGGTTAACTATGACAGCTGGACGTTGAACATCTCAGTCCTTCCCGTGACCATGGGTGCTGTAAAGCTCTCGAAACGTCGGGTAATTAAAAAGTTAAATATACGCGATAAATTCCGTAAAAAACTAGTATTATTTCAATGTGTAGTGTTCGCGTAAATATAAGAAATCGACACGCATTTTTATTGAACACTTCCTATTCAATTCACAAAGTACCTATTATATATTTGTTTATATAAAAAATTATATTTAAGTACAATCATAAAACTAAATGGAAACACAAAGTAGGAAAATGCATTGAGTTATAAAACACATAAATCAATGGGCAAATGTAAAAATGCTGGAGGCAGGCATCCCTATCACATGTTTACGTACCGCACAGCTGTAATATTTATTTCTAAGATACGGCCGAGTTACAATATACCATGACGTAAGCGCATCGGTTGGTAGGTACTCAAATAATATTATGTTTGCGGCGAAATACGGACGCGGCGACCAGCGAGCGGCCACCTCGTATGAACGCATACAACGTAATGCCGCCCGCACTCTGCGCACGCCCCTTTATCATAGAAGTTACACAATTTTCGGAATTATTTCAATTAAAAGAGAAAAAACGAACTTAAAAATTTAAATAAAACGTGGAGAATATAGATTTTTTTAATTATCTATCCATTAGTGTTATCCTCAAATGATTAGAGCGTTGCGTTTAGCAACAGATGCATGTAATCAAGAATTTTAGTCATTTATTAAAAGTTGATTTTAAATGTATTTATATACATAAAAATAAATTAGAACGTGGAATGCGATGATAAGATATCTAACATTAATAATGTACTTTTAGATGTAGTTTATTTTTCATAACTAATGAGATAATAGAGTCTGAAAAACGCACTTTCGCAACATTTTGGTCAGGGATTCACCTTAATGGAAAACCTCAATATCAAATTTTTGGAATAACCTGTGATACACTAGGAAAGACATCTCCGTCAATACTGTAACCCGTTTGCCTTTAAACGGGGCATCATCAGGTGAAAAGTAGACTGCGGTGGCTGACCGCTAAGGTGGTGGATTTTAGTTAATTAATTTTTAACATAATCTTTAATATAATGGATTTCGAC